TCATTTAATGGGATTCCAATATGGGATGGGATCCAGTTTAAAGTTATGTTGAGGCCTTTGCCTTTAGCGACTGCTCCTTGATACAAAATGGTGGTAATTATTTCCACATTATCTTTCCACTGTTTTTGTCCTAGTATTTGAAGTGCAGCTTTTGAGTCTGTGTGTATGATTGCATTTTGAGTGTTTTGTGCAATCACATATGCGAATGCCTGTTGTATGGCGAACAGCTCAGTTTGGGTTGATGATACTAGTCCTCCCAGTCTCCAATATGCCTGAACGCTGGTCGTGCAAAGAGCAGCGCCAGCACTCTCATTTTCTGTGTCCACCGATCCGTCTGTGAAGATGTGGGTGGCTCCTGCTACTGCTATGCTATACATTTGCTCTTCTATTATGCGCCTTAGGATTGTCGGATCATAGGCAGCCTTTTTCATTGGGAGACTTTCTATTACTATTTTGAAAGTAGGCTCTTCCCACGACGCGGAAGGAGTGTAATTTGAGTGTGGATGATCACCCTCTCTAGGCTATAATTCGATGATGAAGATGATGATGATGAAGATTAAGCCACCCAAAAGGTGGCACGGGCATGAATAGCCCGTAAGTGGTGGCCCTTTTAAGCCATTACCAGTATCAAGAGCTGATACTGGAGATCTGTGGAGGTGCGAATGCACCCTGCATGACGGGAGATGTCTCCCTTATGAATGTGTTTAAGATGAAGATGAAGCAACCCAAAAGGTGACACAGGCATGAATAGCTCGTAAGTGGTGGCCCTTTTGAGCCATTACCAGTATCAATAGATGATACTGGAGATCTGTGGAGGTGCGACTGCACCCTGCGTGACGGGAGATGTCTCCCGGACCAAATGGTGACCAGATGATCTCGTGACGGAGATGTCTCCCGGACCAAATGGTGACCAGATGATCTCGTGACGGGAGATGTCTCCCGGACCAAGTGGTGACCAAATGGTGGCTATAATTCAAACGGCTTTTCATTTTATATACCTGCATTTGGGTGAGGTGATATGCTACAACAATTTTGGATGAGGTGAAAACAAACTTTCAACACAAGATAGAACACGAAATATTGAGTAATATTGGGTAAATTTAAAGGGAAATAATGGAAGTAAATACAAAGGGCCTATTGGCCCATATTTCTTGATGCTTCTATATTGGTGCGGAGTCTTGAAGTGGGTAGAATATAGTTGTGCATTAATTGGCTGTTGATTGCTGGTGTTGACTTCTTAATGTGAAGAAGCACATTATATATAGAAGCATCAAGAAATATGGGCCAATAGGCCCTTGGCATTTACTTCCATTCTTCCCCTTTAAATTTACCCAATATTTCGTGTTCTATCTTGTGTTGAAAGTTTGTTTTCACCTCATCCAAAATTGTTGTAACATATCACCTCACCCAAATGCAGGTATATAAAATGAAAAGCCGTTTGAATTATTTACTTTACGGGCTATTCATGCCCGTGCCACCTCTTGGGTGGCTTAATCTTTATCAATCACAATCTTGAATTATAGCACACCATCTGGTCACGATTTGGTCCGGGAGACATCTCCCGTCACGCTGGGTGCAGTCGCACCTCCACAGATCTCCAGTATCAGCTCTTGATACTGGGAATGGCTTAAAACCACTTACGGGCTATTCATGCCCGTGCCACCTTTTGGGTGGCTTAATCTTCATCAATCATCAATCAATTATAGCAGTCGGGAGACATCTCCCGTCACGCAGGGGGGCAGTCGCACCTTCACAGATCTCCAGTATCAGCTATTGATACTGGTAATGGCTCAAAAGGGTCACCACTTACGGACTATTCATGCCCGTGCCACCTTTTGGGTGGTTTAATCTTCATCATCATCATCATCGAATTATAGCATAGTAAGAACTCTGTTTAGTGTTTGCAGGTTATAGTTGTGTGTGTGTAAACTAAAAGTCTTTGAAAATGTAATAAGTTATTACGAAACGCGTTCAAGTGTCGCGTCAGACTAGAAATAAAAATGAATTTGGGAGAATTGATTTTTCAATTACCATCGACAGTGAAAAGAAACATAAGAAATATTGAGAAAATTCGTGTTGAAATATTAATCTTACTTTTTCGGTCTTTTGTATTTGTACTCACTGAATTTGTGCGCCCCTTGAGGGACTTGAAGTAGACGGGAGTAGAAATAGCCTAAGCTACTCTATCCCTTTGAGATGTATTTTTTTGTTGTCTCATACATACTTGAACTTGAAGTGGACTTTAATGTTTTTTTCGGCAGCTTTATTTCCTTAGTTTCCGAGTTGTTTTCTTTACCGTGTATGTTGTAATAAAGTATTCCTATATTTACAGTTGTTTCTCCCTGTGAAGATTATTAAACAATGATGATTATAAGGGCGCGGAAGTTCAGCCTGGCCAGGGCCGCCAGTAGCCCTTGGGCCCGCCCCGGCAGCACCTGCAGTCTTTAATTTGGCACCTTTGTGGCACCTTGGTATAAGCCTGTCTTGAGGTTATCTTGAGATGATTTCGAGGCTTTTTTAGTGTCCCCGCGGCCCGGTCCTCGACCAGGCCTCTACCCCCAGGAAGCAGCCCTTGACAGCTGACTAGCACCCAGGTACCTATTTTACTGCTAGGTAACAGGGGCATAGGGTGAAAGAAACTCTGCCTATTGGTTCTCGCCGGCGCCTGGAATCGAACCCAGGACCACAGGATCACAAGTCCAGCGTGCTGTCCGCTCGGCCGACCGGCTCCTAACGTGTATATATACACACTGGCTGCCTGTCCCCCTACACAATGATTTATTATTACCTATTATTTTATCATTTAATTTAAATAGTAAATAAAATTATTTAATTATTATAGTAAGTACTTAATAATTTAATAATAAGTAGTACATAAAAATGATTAAAAAGTACAGTTTAGTCATAGGAGATTCCTAGATTGGAATTCACTACCAAATTTTGATATATCCAAGTATTTTTAATGTGAAATGCTGTTATTATATGCATAAACTGTTATTTTAATAATATTACGCTTAACCACTTGGGCTGGACGGTAGAGCGACGGTCTCGTTTCCTACAGGTCCGCGTTCAATCCCCGACCGCCCAAGAGGTTGGGCACCATTCCTTTCCCCCGTTCCATCCCAAATCCGTATCCTGATCCCTTCCGAGTGCTATATAGTCGTAATGGCTTGGCGCTTTCACTTGATAGTTCCCCCACCCCCCTGAATAATATTACGAGAGCAGGATTTACGGGCTATTCATGCCCGTGCCACCTCTTGGATGGCTTAATCTTCATCAATCGAGAGCAGTACGTCCTAACCAGATGATATCTGATATATGATGATATCTTGAACAGTTGATAAATAAATGTCATTGGGAACTCCAGTTATCTAATACTTATCATAAATGGTATAAAACCTTATCATAAGCCAAGGGATTTGTAGATCAGTGTTTAAAGGGAATTCGGAAGTAATAATAACACAGCTGATGCCATCTGTCGGCAGAAGAGAACACTATCAACTGGCTGGTCAACAGTAGCCATAAGATACAGCTTACGCCATCTGTTGACATCAAATTACACTAATAACAAATCATCCCTCAAAATACAACTAACGCCATCTGTTTTCTTTCCAATTCACTATAAATAGCCAAACAGCAACCCATAAGGCGGGATGCTGTGCTCGGGAAGGAGGTACCAGGCTCCGCCCACAGATGGGTATGGGGTGCATATCATTGGTAGAAACTCTTTGTTGACATTCACACAACAGCCAATCACAGGAAGGGATCAGCTATAAGTGCCATCCACTTAGTAAATCATCTTAGTTCAGCCCACCAGTCCTGCTTATGGAATTCTGCTTTAACTTTAACTTACCCAAAAGAATGAAGCGTTAATTATTTAAAGTGATAATTAAATATTGCAGGATATAACGGATGTTATATAAAAATGGGCTGGCTACCTAACTTGTGACGTTATTATTGGGGGTTGCCTTGACACAAATAAGGATACACTGCTCTGCCCTCTTATTCGAGTAAATTATTCAGTTAGATGGAGATTTCTATCAGGTGCAAAACAGAAATTGTTGTTCTTTTTCACAACAACCTTGTTGTTGTGCACAAGGACCTATTTCTTAGTTTAGATTTTATTCATAAAAGAGTGTTGGTATTCCCCGCAACAGCCAATCACAGGAAGGTATTTCTGGAAGCTCCGCCTCCTTATGGACTCAGCCCATCGCTCTAGCTCATATGACTCTCTGTTTCATCTCTTGTACATACAAACTATGAACTTTTTCGATTACTGTTATAATTAATAATATGAGATATAAAAGTTTTTACACAAAATGGCTAAATTCTGCCATTAAATGGACTTTGTCTGGTATATATACAAACATACACCAACTTATTACCATTCATCCATTATAAATTTCAAATGTAATGTATACTGTCTAGTTTTTTTCCTAGCTCTCGCCATTACTTGGTGCATTATTTGAAAGTTGTCTATTTATTTATCGATCTATCTATTATCTTGTATTTATATTTACAAGTTTCTGTGCTTGGAAGAAAACTCTGCATTGAATTGGAACTAATTTATTAAATAATATTATTTAGTATTAATTAATATTTACAATTATTATTAATTACAATTATTTATAGCTTAGTTACTTTCATGTAACTCGCAATCGTACATTCTTAACATTAATAGCCCAAATTAGCACATCTTGCTTTTAAATTAGCCTAAAAAGTAGCAAGTAGCGAAATTAAAAATTTGGGAGCGCTGGTCTCTCAAAAGTAGCCTAATTCGCTATTTGTAGCCCAATCTGGCAACACTCCCTGGAGCGTTGAGTTTCTCGTCTTGGTCACATTCTCTCAAGTAAACAAAATATTGCATCAGCGGCTAGCAGCAGATGTGGATTTAATTAAATATTTAGTACTAAATGCATACATACATCTCATCTCACGAATTCTTTGAAAAGCATAATTTTAAACCTAATTTGTTCTATCATTAGAGCAAACAGCTAAGCTGTGGGGGGCTATATAATATATGGATTGATCGTATCAGTGGGACTGTGTTTGGAACCTCACATGCGTAAGCAGCTATGGCCGGGGTGCTGCTCAGGAATATACGGTTTTGCCCGGCAGCATTAAAGTTCCGACCAAAGACAACTTACGTTGTGTTGTAAGTACACAACAAGAGATATTGGTAACAACTGGCACATAAATCAGTTCCATAAGATGGTAGTTTCAAATATGAATTCCTGCCCGGTAGCTGGTGCCACCGGGCAGGACCTTCAGCATTCATAACCCTAGATTTTTGTAAATAAAAAAGAATCATAAAATATATTGTCTCTGAAACATTATCGGTGAGGCAGTGGCACGAAGTGGGCCAGTTCCATTAATCTCCACTACACGTGTATCATAATTCGTATATCATGTCAATATAATTCATATATTATAATTACCATTAATATATATTATTATAACCAGTCTCCGTGGTGTAGTGGTAAGACACTCGCCTGGCATTCTGCGACCGCTTTGTCATGGGTTCGTATCCTGGCCGGGGAGGATTTACTGGGGGCAAATCCTTAATTGTAGCCTCTGTTTAACTCAACAGTAAAATAGGTACTTGGTTGTAACAACAATTCTTCGCGGTGGGGATCATACTCCAGGGACCTGCTCAAAACGCTACGCGTACTAGTGGCTGTACAAGAATGTAACAACTCTTGTATATATCTCAAAAAAAAAAATAATAAGTTTTATAAGATGTCAAAAAATAACTTTGGCTTTGTTAAATACTTCAGAACAATTTAAAAACAATTGTTTGTATATTTTTCTAATGGTAAAAAGAAAGATATAAGAAGTGTTGTGATGGTAAAATCTTGAAAATACAGTATGTACAAAAACTTTAAATGTTGAATCTTTATGAAGACAAACATTAAGAAGCTAAACCTAAGAATTGGCCAAAATTTGAGCCAAGTTAATTTGGTGCTCACTGTCAGTGGTCCTACAGTATAATTATCCCTGCATATACTGAATGTAAAACACATCTTCAATGCACTGCTTATTTTAATATTTTACATTTATTAGAAATTATAAGATGCACTTCTGTACTACTTTTATCCCAATTGTACTGTTTTTAATAAATTAAAATATTTGGAAATGATAAGCACATATGGACTCAAAACATTGACAGTTTCCATATCCATCTGAACAAGTAATAGTTTGCCATCTTTCAGTACCATATACAATGGCCTTAGATGGTCAACTGTGTAAAATAAGTGGATGTAAACAAATTTGAAAAAAAAAATTTTGCCATGATGTTCAAAAATATCCATCTACACCTGAAAACTTTGTAAGATTTTACAAGCAGGATTAACTATTATCCTTCGGTATTTTGTCCAACAAATCAATATTATCCAATAAATATATATGAGAGGTGGTATTCCAAGTGGAAAACTAAAATACCATGTGTTCATTGCTTGTACAGTATGGTCAACTTTTGAATAATGCATGGAACATAGGTAGTCCCACTGCATCAAGATTTCCAGAATTTTACTAACATATATTAATGTTGTAGACTAAACAGCTTGCCTCTTGGTTACTAAGGATTTTGAACTAGAATTTTCCATTTGTCATTTTGCTAAATTTCAAATTAATATGTTAATTAATTTACAGGTTGCCAGAGAGCCCAATCGACACCCCTGAAGATAATGCCTTGCTTCGTACTGATGGCTTGCCGCAGTTTGACCAGTTAACTCCTGAGAAATGTTGGACTGGGATTGGCAAGCTAGCATTAGAGTATGAATCCAGAGTTTGGGCTGTGGAAGAGAAGGCTCGTAGTACGTGTGCTGTTTATCTTCATATTTCTTGCCTTCGCTATATTATCAAATTTAGTTACTTTTCTATTTATTTTGTTTATTTTTCCTGGCAAGGTAGTCTTAAAAAAATCCTTGGCCAGTTTATTGCACATTTTTTAAAGATATTATATGCCTAACTCATTAACTATTTTGATGGTGTAGATATCTTGATATCATATACATACTGTTTAATGTAAAACTATAGCAACTTTTTAATTATTATTATTTTCATTTAGTACAAGTTTTGTTAATATATAATTGCTGATTATAATACTGTATGTCAGCAGCACTTAAATAAATTTGTCTTTTACTTTTCAATGTCTGTCTTAGTTTATGCCGTATTATTAGTGACAACTGAGAAAATAAATTTAATTTAATGTTAAAAGATCCAAGAATAAAGCATTTTTACTTGTATGTCAAAGTTTTCTTATATGAAACAGAATTAGCCGCCTGCTTCTGGACACGAGTGATCTGTCCAGAAATTGTTAGTTGCATTACCTATGAGTTTTATTGATCATAAATGTAGACTATAATGTCTAATGGAGTTTTATTATTAATTACACTTGGTTTTCTTTTTACAGACCCAAAAGAACCAAAAACATTTGATAGTATTGTAGGAGAACTGGACCATTTGGAGTCTCCATTAAACTCTGCTTGGAGTAATGTAAAAATATTATACACAGTTAAAAATCATGAAATGAATACAAATGCCTATCTCAAGATTCATGAGCGAGCACGGAAAGCCAGAGTTCACAAGTTTCAGAGCCGTCCTATCTATGAAGCATGTAAGGTATGTTACCTTTTTTTCAGATGCAAGGGCTTAAGAAGATTTATTCAACTCTGTGAAAGAAACAATAAAGCATAGCACAAAATTTAAGAAAACTATATAATTCTCTCTTAAAGGATGTGTTTTTTCTTTGCTTTCTAAAGTGTGATTTGTGTACACGACTACCATTAACCATCAATCTTTGTAGATTTGAAGTGTGCAAATTCTTAGATATGTGGATTTCTTTATAACAACCAAGTACTGAGTGCACAATATCATGTTTGACCATGCATTAATCATCTAGGGCATGAGGGAGAGCAATTTTAGCGCAGCATTTTTAAAATCATGTTTATTTATTTACAGGAAATATATGCAAAAGACAGCAGCCTAAATGTTGCTCAGAAGCGAGTTATCCGTAAATTCCTTCTTGAAGCACGACTTAATGGGATTGAACTTCCTCCAGAAAAGAATGCTATTTTTACAAATAAGCTCAAAATGTTAGAGGTGGAAAAATCTGAATTCAGGAGAAAAGTACTTGTAAGTATTTGTTGAGCTGATTCATGTATATACCAGACTCGCATATTAAGATTTTTCTTTTTTATTGCAAAATGCTTTGCTTTTTTCTGATCCCAAATAATAGAAGACATCTTTGTGCATATGGTGACAACAAAATTATATAAACAATGCATTTTTAATATACTGGAAGATAAGACAAAGGAACAAAAGATAAAAAATTTAAGGGAAAAATAGCAGAGAGAGAGAGAGCTGTATTTTTTGGAGAGACCCTTCAGTGGCTCCTCAAGCTTAATTCAGATACTACCAAGCTTTAGCTAAACACACCAGGCCTAGAGGCAGGACCATACTGGTTTACTCAGTGAAGCAAGGGCAGAAAAGATGAACCAAAAAACTAGGCAAAACACATTATAGATTGTACACTGGACTTTGCACTGGACTTGTGATCCTGTGGTTCCGGGTTCGATTCCGGGCGCCGGCGAGAAACAATGGGCAGAGTTTCTTTCACCCTATGCCCCTGTTACCTAGCAGTAAAATAGGTACCTGGGTGTTAGTCAGCTGTCACGGGCTGCTTCCTGGGGGTGGAGGCCTGGTCAAGGACCGGGCCGCGGGGACACTAAAAAAGCCCCGAAAATCATCTCAAGATAACCTCAAGATATCATATCTGACTGATGCACCTGACCACCACTAGACGGCTGACCAGGTCACCTGAGGTGACAGCCATCCTGCCTCCTCACTCTTTTGCTTAATGTACCCCCTCCCCGCTCAGCTCGTTGTCGCCGTGTGGGGGCTTAGTGGGCGGCTGCCGGAGTGTGATGCTCCTTGGGACAGTCCTCTGTCCTTTTCTAGCCTTGTGCTCCTGCTGCCGTCCTCTCCAATTCTGCTGGGCATCTTTTTCTTTTCCTTCTGTTTCGTTTTTCTCCCCCCTCTTCTCCTATCTGCTTGCCGTTTCCTGCCGACCTTTTGCTCGTTCTGGTTCTTCCCTTGGACTTCTTCTATTTTGACGCCCGGGTGCTTGAGGAGGCATACTCATGCACCCGTAGAACTGCAGTACCCGATGTCGAGAGCGAGGGGAACCTTTTATTGTCAATCCCCACTTCGTCACTGAACCCGATCTCGACGGACTGTCGGTTTCTTAAGGTGGCGTTTGTGGGGCGTATACTCGCGACGCACCCCTAGGAGGCCCCGACAAGATCGGCGATAGCTTCTTGTTGGGTGTCCTGCCTCTAATTGTGGCTCCATGGTGGGTGTGGGGGCACGTTCGTGAGTGAATTCTTCTTTCGTCAAGATGATTACCCCTGCTTCGGCTTCTTCTGGTTTACCTTCTCAGGCTCGTGGGGTGGGCGACCAAGCCCCCGAGTCGGTCCGTATTGGAAGACCGGGCTCTGTAGCCTCCGCTGCATTGGGCCCCGACCTTGCTCCTCCTTTGGCCTCTCTGACTCCTTCCTCTGGCTCCCCTCCCTCCTCTGTGGTTGGGTCGAGCCCCAAGCCCCCAGTGGTGACTACCTCGTCCCCTGGCGCGGCTCCTTCTCTAGTTGTAACTACTGCGCCTTTTAACCCCTCTCTCTCTGGGGGTTCTCACCGCCGTCCTCGTCACGGCCGCCCTCGCTCGATTCCTTCCAGTTCTGCTACCTATCAAGCCTTGTTTGGTCCCGCTTCATGGGCCAAATATTTTGATCTCCTCCCTCTTGATTCTGCGCCTCCTGACGATTTCTCCCTCCATCGACATCTCATTGATTCCGTGGATGCCTCCATTACTTTCAACCCCACTCGTCTCGGTACACGTGTCGTTGCTGCTCCTTCTCAGGATGCTGCTTCCCGCTTGGCTGCCTTATCCTGCCTTGGCGAGACCCCCGTTCGGGTCTCGAAGAACGCTCAGTTAAATGCCAGTGTTGGCACTATTTTGCTCCCACCCCATGTTGCGACCGGTGTTCGGGACCTGCGCGACTGCCACGACGATATTCGACATATCCTCGCTGCCCAGGGCCATTCTATTCTCCAGGTGGACACGTTTACTCGTCCCCCTCGTGGTAGTCGCCGTCAACCCCTCCGGGTTGTGAAGATTACCTTTGATGGTAGGACCCTTCCACCCTCTGTCATTCTTGCTGGTGCCAGGTGCTCTGTCCAGGAGTACATTCCTTCTCCTCGGCTCTGCAACAAGTGCTGGAGGTTTGGGCATGGTGCCCTCCGCTGCTCCGGGACTGTCTCTCTCTGTCCTTTGTGTGGTGGCGACGGTCACTCTAAGTCGGAGTGCGCTTCTCCCCAGGCTCGTTGCCTCAACTGCGGTGAGGCCCATCCTACCTTCTCCCGTGCGTGTGTCCATTACAAGCTTGAGGCAGCCGTCCTCAACTTGAAGCACCGGGAGCGTTTATCTTTTCCTGAGGCGAGGCGCCAGGTTCGCCGGCTCCCGCCTTATGCTAATATCTCTTATGCTCGCGTGTTGCGCTCTTCCTCTCCTCGTCCTTCCCGCCTTCCTCAGACTCACAACCGTTTCCGGGCCTTGGACCCTGATGCGCCCACTGCCCCCTCCTCTGTCCCTTTGGGTTCTCTCCCGAAGGATCCTCCTCCTGGTCCTCTGTCTGGGGTTCCCCTTCCTTCTACCCGGTCTGTCGTGTCTTCTGTGTCTTCTTCCTCGTCCCCCTCCGATCCTCCTTCCCATCCTCTTCCTCCATCTATCGGCTCTCCCCACCGCCTGTCGGTGCGGGCGGATGTCCATCGCTCTCCTAACGGCCGTCGTGTGTGCTCTCGTTCGGCTTCTCCTGTTGAGACACTGGAATCCGTTGCCCGGTACGTGGTTGCTGGGACACCGGTCTCTTTAAGTCAGAAGCGTAAGCCTGGCTCCTCTCCTTCCTCTTCCCCGGCGGGTAAGAAGGCTTCGCTTTCTTCCTCAGCTCCTCCTCCTGGCTCTGTTGCTCCTTCCCCTCCCGTTTCAGTGCTTGCGCCCCCTGTTCCTGCTATGGAGGTTTCTTTGGCCCCTGCTTCCCTTTCGGTTGCTGCTCTTGCTGGGGTGCGCTCCCCTCTTTCTACTCCCCCTCTTCCTGCTGCTGTCCTTGACTGCTCCTCTCCGTTGTCTCCTCCTCCTCCTCCTCCTCCTCCTCCTCCTCCGGACCCTGCCCGCCCACCTCTGATCTGTTCTCCCGTTTCCTTCCCTCCGTCTTTGCTCAGTTTACCCATGCCCCCTAACCCTGACTTTGCTGACCCTGATCCCGACCCTGATATTCTTTAACGTGCTCTGTTGGTCTTTCGCCTTTGTTTCTTCCTTGTTCTCTGTTTTTGTCCTTTCTCTTCTCGTCGTTGTCCATTCTTCAATGGAACGTTCGAGGTTATTACGCCAATTTCCTCGAACTCCAACTTCTGGTTTCGCGGTTTTCGCCCCTTTGTGTCTGTCTCCAGGAGCCAATGCTTGGTGCTCGTCCTGGTCGTTTTCGTGGCTATTCCTTTCTCTCCCCCCCCCCCAGCCATTGCTGGGGCTTCTAATTCTTCTGCTCTCTTGATTCGGGCTGATGTTCCCTTTGTTCCTTTACTTTTTCCTTCGCCTCTCCATTGTTCTGCTGCTCGTATCTTTGTGGGGAAATGGTACACAGTTTGTTCCATTTATCTCCCCCCGAGTGTCCCGCTCTCTCTTCCTGATTTGAAACACCTCCTAGACTCCTTGCCGGAGCCTGTGCTCCTGCTGGGTGACTTCAATTGTCGTCATTCTCTTTGGGGTGACGTTCTGACGAATACCCGGGGTCGCCTCCTTGAGCCGTTTCTCCTCTCTTCTTCCCTGTCTCTTCTGAATTCTGGTGAGCCCACTCATTTGGACTCTCGAACTCGCACCCTTTCTTGTCTTGATCTTTCTCTCTGCTCTTCTTCTCTTTACTTAGATTTCACGTGGCAGGTTCTTGATGACCTCCATGGAAGTGATCATTTCCCCATCCTTGTTTCCTTTTTCTCTTTTCGCCCTTCCCTCTCTTTCCCTAGGTGGCAGTTTGCTAAGGCGGACTGGACCCTATTTTCCCTCAGTGCTACTCTCTCTGACCTCTCCCTTCTGCCTCTCTCTCGCGCTCTCCTCCTTTTTCATGACACTGTCTTCGACGCTGCCCTCCGCTCTATCCCTCGCTCTTCCTCTCGGGGTCCACGGAAGTGCGTTCCCTGGTGGAATGCGGACTGTGCTCGGGCTGTCCGCTGTAAGCGTGCAGCCTGGAAGAAGCACCGCCGTAGGCAGACGACCGATTCTTTTCTTTTCTTTCGGAAAGCGAGTGCGGTGGCCCGTAGGGCCATCCGTACGGCTAAACGTGAATGTTGGGCATCTTATGTCTCAACAATTACGTCCGAAACCCCTCTGGCCCAGATCTGGAAGCGTATCCGCAAGATAGCGGGTAAGTTCGTTCCCGATGTTTCACCGGTCCTTCACCTCCATGATACTCTTGTGGCGGACCCGTTGCAGGTCGCTTCCGAACTGGGTTCCCACTTTTCTTCTGTTAGCTCTGGTCTTCATCTTCCCCAATCTTTCCTTCTTCGTAAACCTGTCCTTGAGTCTCGTCCTTTAGATTTCTGCACTCATCTTCAGCTTCCCTATAATGATCCCTTCTCTCTCTCTGAACTTCGTTCTGCCCTGGCCCTCTGCGGTTCTACGGCGGCGGGCTCCGATGGTATTCATTATGAGATGCTTCGCCATCTCCCTCCGAGCACGTCTCAGTATTTACTGAGTCTGTATAATCGGATCTGGGAGTCGTCGTCAGTCCCTGAGGACTGGCTCGATGCCGTTGTCCTCCCTGTTCGCAAACCGGGGTCTCTGGGTACTTCCCCTAAGGACTTTCGCCCTATTGCTCTCACAAGTTGTGTCTGCAAACTCTTTGAACGTATGGTTAACGTTCGTCTGATGTGGTTCCTGGAACACCATCACCTCCTCTCCCCTTCTCAATTTGGTTTCCGCAAGTGCCGCAGCACGACAGATGTCCTGGTGAACTTGGAGGTTTATATTCGTACTGCTTTTGCTGCGAAGACCTCCGTTGTTGCCGTCCTTTTTGACCTAGAAAAGGCTTACGACACCACTTGGCGTTCTCATATCCTATCTCAACTTCATTCTTTTGGCCTTCGTGGTCATCTCCCTCTCTTTCTCCGCAGCTTCCTCTCTCGTCGTTCCTTTCGGGTGCGCCTTGGTACCGCTCTCTCTCCCTCTTTTCAGCAATACGAAGGTGTGCCCCAGGGTAGTGTTCTGAGCACTACTCTTTTTCTTGTTGCCCTCAATGGTCTTCTTTCCTCTCTTCCTTCTGGTGTCTTCTCCGCTCTCTATGTCGATGATCTTACCCTTTGTTGTCAGGGTGATGATTCGCCTCTCCTTCAACGCCGGCTTCAACTTGCAATTGATGCCGTGTCGTCTTGGGCCACAGGTCATGGCTTCAAGTTCTCTACTTCTAAGACTTGTGCCATGACTTTTACGCGGAAACGGGTTGTTCTTCGTCCCTCTTTGTCACTTTATGGTCATCCCCTTGAATACAAAGATTCCGCGAAGCTTTTGGGGTTATTCCTTGACACTCGTTTGTCTTGGTCTCCCCATATCTCTTACCTCCGTGTTGAGTGCTCTAAGGCCCTTACCCTCCTTCGGGTCTTGTCCCATACTTCTTGGGGGGCAGATAGGCGCACTCTCCTTGCTTTACATTCCTCTCTCGTCCTGTCTAAGCTCGATTATGGTTGCCCTGCTTACTCGTCTGCTTCTCCTTCTACTCTTCGCCGTCTTGATGCTTTGCACCATACTGGGTTGCGCCTCAGTTCTGGTGCCTTTCGTTCGACTCCCATCCTTAGCTTGTATGTTGACACTGGCTTCCTGTCTCTCCAGGACCGCCGTGATCGCTACTGTCTTCGCTATCTTGCGCGGTCCTTGCAACATCCTTCCTCTCGCCTCTGTCGTGCTTTAACTTTTACCCCTCCTGCGGTTCCTGTTCCTCTTCACCACCTCCCTCTTTCTGTCCGGTTATCTCGCCTACAGGATTCTCTCTCCGTTCGTATTTCTGATGTTTCTCCTCGTGTTGTTCCTTCTTTGCCCCCGTGGAGGGTCCCTCTTCCGCGGTTTTGTACTTCCTTGACCCGTATCACTAAAGCTTTTACCCCTCCTACGGTTCTAAAACGCCTTTTCCTCGAGCACTTTTCTTCTCACTCCCGCTCCGTTTCTGTCTTCACCGATGGGTCTAAGTCAGCGGACGGTGTTGGCTACTCTGTTGTTTTTCCTGATCGCACTTATATGTGTCGCTTGCCTCCGGAGACTAGCATCTTTACAGCAGAACTTTATGCTATTCTCTATGCTCTTCGTCTCCTGCTTTCTCGTTGTCAGTCTTCCTTTGTGGTTGTTGTTGACTCTCGTAGTGCCCTCATGGCTCTCGGGTCCTTTAATCCGGTTCATCCAGTAGTTGTCGAGATCCAGCATTGGCTGTTTCTCGTTCACAGTAAATTTAAGTCGGTTGAGTTTTGTTGGGTTCCCAGCCATATTGGTGTGTCTTTAAATGAGCGTGCGGATGCTGCCGCTAAGGAAGCTGTCCGCTCTTGTCCCATCTCTCGTAAAGGCATTCCGTATTCCGACTTTTACCCAGTTATCCATTCCTCAGTCATTACCCGTTGGCAGGCTTCTTGGTTGTCTGTTACTGGTAACAAGCTACGTACTCTTAAATGTTGTGTTTCCTCGTGGCCGTCCTCCTTCCACCGTAACCGGCGGTGGGAAACAGCTCTGGCGAGGTTGCGTATTGGCCATACTCGCTTAACCCATGGTCACTTGATGGAGCGCCGCCCTGCTCCTTATTGTCCTAGTTGCATTGTCCCTCTTACGGTCGTGCATGTCCTTCTTGAATGTCCTGACTTCCAGGACGAGCGTGTGTCTTGCTTTCCGACCGCCCCTCGCGGTCACCTGTCCCTCGATAGAATTCTTGGTGACTCGGATACTTTTGATATCGTTCGCCTTATGCGTTTTTGTTCTCGTATTGGCATCCTTGGTGATATTTAGCGCCCTCTGATTATTTTGCGTATTTGATGGTGCTACATAGCCTTCCCGGTTTGGTGCCTTCTTTTGATAATTACTTACTTACTTTTGCTTAATGTAAGTCATCCAACTTGTGCAACTTCTACTGGGCCCCTCTTGGCTTCTTGCCACCAAGTCAGAACCTCGAAATAAAAAAAAAATCCCACTCCTTCAAAATTATGATAACTAAACCACAAAAAATGGAGAAATGACAACATTTCAGTCTGTCCTAGAGCATTATCAAGTTGTGTGATATGATAATCACCATCCTGGATTATCACACGACTTGATAATGCTCCAGGATGGACCGAATCGTCATAATTTCTCCATTTTGTGATGTGCGATTTGGTCATTATATCTTCAGCTACATTATTGTGACTCATCATTTTCAAAATTATGATGATGATGATTATTGGTTGTATTTATTATGATATCATATTTGCCTTTACAACATGTACTCCGAGTTTAGGTTACTTGGACCATATTATCTATTACTTTTCTGTGGGATCCCCGTTGGCTCCCTGGAACCAGGGAGCCTCCAGGGGGGGGACTACCCAGAAAATTGCGTTTCATTACTATAAACGCTGTTTTTTTTTCTTACTGCACAACTGTAAAGATCATGTTTTTCTTACTAGATCGGTAATAAAAAATGTGAATTTAATCAATTAGTTTTTAGCTGCATTTCATCTCTTGTTATGGCTAGGGTTCAAGAGTGGTATCACTGTTGAAGAGCTAATAAAAGCACTTATTTGGTTCCGGTGGTGTGTTGCAATGAAGCCCAATGGCTTCTTTGCAAGACATTGTTACATATTAAATCACATCACATTGTGTGATTAAAGATAAACCCCATGTCAGCTTGGGGTCAAGTTACTGTTTTTGTGGTATTCACTGTGTATGAATACCTTACCATGGCAGTATTATGGATGGTAGATACACAATGTGGTGTTTGTGAAAAGGAAAGTCTTGTAATTATCCCAAGAAGTAAATTGTTCTTTATTATGCTCATGAATTAATTATATGTTGTCAAAAAGTATGATACAGCATTAATTTTTGTTTTTCAGGAATCTTCCAGTAAATTTTCCCATAAAATACAAAATTCAAGTATCGTGAAAGATTTTCCGGATACACTGTTGAAAAATATGGCTGTGGATCGGTAAGTAAATAATGTTCTATCTAATATTTATGTTTTGTTTTCCTCTCTTTTGTCAGTATAGATCTAAGTTTTTGCACTGCATAGTTTGGACATACAAGTTTCCCTGTTTACTGCTCTATATATCACATTAATTCCAGTTGTTATGATTTAGCTTTATACCTTCATAGATTATCTTCGCTTCCTTCAGTTCACTTCATTCTCATGAAGTTTTCAATCTGCCTTCAGTTCCTTTATTTTTTAACTTGTTTAATTAATTTTTTTATTTTGTTCTTTTGAATTTATTCATGTGTTTGGATTTAGTTGTTTTTCATGCATTTTATTTTTTTTTGAGTGAGAGAGTGAGTTAGTGAGAGCATGTGTGTGTGTGTGTGTGTGTGTGTGTGTGTGTGTGTGTGTGTGTGTGTGTGTGTGTGTGTGTGTGTGTGTGTGTGTGTGTGTGTGATATTGAATGAGTGAGTGAGTAGGTTTCCCCTAGTGGCAGTGACATAACTGATGGAAACTACTGAGGTGACGTCCAGAAAGTGACATTTCATTATACTTGACGTTCAGTTTTTGGTAATGTGGCTTATCTGGCTTTCTTTTTGACGGGTTAAAAATATTTTATCGCATTTGTCTTGAGTTTATACATTTTGTTTTTTTAACTTCATCTAATCATCATTGTATGGTGGCTCATAGAACACAAAAAATGCCTCAAAATATTGTTGTGTTTTATGTAATAATAATTTAGTTTATCCTTACAGGAGGTTACTTAGATCCTCCGTTAAATAATTGACACTTCTGTGATTGCCGACATTCATTGAATGTAACCCATTGCAAGTTTGTTTATTTTAGAGTGTATCTAAAATGGGTTATATCTGTCTTAGAAATTAGCAATGCCGAAACCAAACCCAATCATCTATCCGGACTCATCAGAGATTGCTGGTGATATAAATTCAGGAATAATTTAAGATTGTTGATGGTATCATTTCAATAATTATCAAGCATGCCAATGGAATTATTTCATTTATCATCCGAGATTGCTGATGGTATTGTTTCAGTAATCATCTGAAATTGCTGAAGGTATCATTTCTCAAACCACTTTAATTAGAAATAAATTTTAAGTGTTTCAGTTTTTGTAGATACAGTACTATCATATGCACTTTGGCAATTTTTTTGTTTAATAAATTTATGCTGAGTAAAAATGCCTATTTCTGTTAATGTTTAATATATATATATTTTCAGGTCTCGGTTTAAAGAAGGTCCATGGACCGTCACTTTTCAGCCGCATGTTTATGATAGCTTTTTAGAGCACTGCCCTTCGACTGAATTGCGTCGCAACACTTATCGGGCCTATAACATGAGAGCTTCAAACCATATTAGCCAAGATGTTAGCAATAGTACTCATATTGAGGAAATTAGATCTCTCAGGTGAGACTTTGTACTATTTGTTGCAGTGTGCCATATACGTTTCTTGTATGTGCAAAGTTGGGGTTGGTAGTAAAGAGCCTCCTTTTGAGTTCGGGTATCAGTACCTTTGTTGATGCTTACTTTCATGCTAGCGCTTTTTATTCTCATTGGATATGCTCAGTTACCCCCATGTAATACAGCCTTACACTGATGTCTATGATATCTGACACTTAGATTTCTTCATGCTTCACTTTTATTTCACACCTTCACACCAGTTCTCCATACTACAGCATCATCATTTCATCAACTTTCTATTGGATCATATTATTGTATTTGCCAAATTTCCACTCTACATTGCTTTTGCCAATCCACTCTTGTCTAGTCTCGTTTTTCTATATTTTAACAGGAGAGAGCAAGCACGTATTCTTGGCTATGAAAACTTTGCCCAAATGTCTATGGAAACAAAAATGGCTGGAAGTGTGGAGAATGTTACCTCCATGATCACAAGCCTGCTAGCTAAAGGTATTCGCATTATAATTTTCCCATGAGGACTTTATAGTTGTATTATTAAAGTTTTATTCTTTTGCTCATTCAACATCATTCATGAAAATAATAGACATAACTAACCTGTGTCTGGATCAGTTCAGGCTAATGTAGATTGGAAGAGGTTTAAGGATACGTTTAGTGGTAATCTTAATCATTTTGTAAGAGGCTGTTTTTAACAACTCCAAAGTTACTTGTCCCTGACATTTGTGCAAGAAAATAGTGTAAACCTTTATCTTTCAGCAAAGAAGGCTCAGAAAAAGGAAATTGCTTCACTGCAAGCATTTGCCGAGAGCCAAGGCTTTGATCTTCAGCTGGAGGCCTGGGATGTTGACTATTGGAAAAGAAAACAGATGCATTATTTATACAAGTAAGTTCTCTTGAGCCTCAGTGATTGTTCTTTCTTTAGTAACTTTCACTTGTATATCATATGTGAATAAATTGTTTTGGAAATTTTAAGTAAATTGATGAATCTTTGGTAGACCATAATGGCGCTGGCTCAGGGAGCATCCGATTGGCCTCAACGTAAAAGGCAATGCTGTGATTGTTAAAAAAATTCAGCAAAATTTGGAAAAATCAGAGGCCGTGGTACAGTATTCCAGATGTGCTGAATAGGGATTAGTACAATGTAGTCCATTTCATTGGAAGTATTAATTTATGGCAATTTTTGGTGATTTGGGAACTTATTAACTCACATTTATGTGTACAGTGCAGTAAAGTATTGAACTAATAGGACATTATGTGCCAAGTTAAAATTATAAATGTATTCATGTCTAGTTGTGGGCCTATAAATATTTATTATATACATATTGTACTTGTCTTTAGTTGTGGGCCTGTATGTTCATATTACATACATGATACATTCAGTACAGTATAAAGTATGTTAGTATGTACATGTATATGGTACCATGTAAACAAGATAATATAGTATTCAGGATTAATACTAATTACTTTACTAAGATATGTATTTTTTTTTAATTCCAGTTGTGATGACATTAATCTACAAGAGTATTTCCCCTTTGACCATGTTTTTGTCGGCCTTCTTGAAATCTGCTCAGAACTTTTTGGGATTTCCTTCGAAGAGATATCAAGTGACCAAATTTCCACGTGGCACCCAGATGTTCGGTTTTTCAATATCTTGGACCATACAGGAGACTACATCTCATCATTTTATTTGGATCCCTTCCAGAGGTAGGCCAAACATGATCTTGCAATTTGCATTATTACTCTTTAAAAATAAAAGAATGATCTTGAATTTCACTTTTATCCTGTCTAAAGGTTCTGGAGATATAGTCATGATATTATCCTTATGTGTTTTTGTAGGGTCCTTTTCCTTACGGTGCAAATTCCTACTGGTCTGCTATTATTGTTTCCTATTTTCATTACTTTTGTTGGAGTTGAACTCTGAACAAACTCTGTCATTTATCTGTCCACTCTTGGAGTTTGTAAAGGTCTTCCTGCAGCACTCTTCAGTATCTCAGTTTCATACTTTACTCGTTAGCTTTACTTCATCAGTAAACACATATATTGTATGTGTGAGCTCACTCGCTCAGCTAGGTCATCCATATTGATTAAGAACAGCAATTTTCCTAGGCAGACGAGGAGTCACAATAACGTAACTGAAGTATGTTGACCAGACCACACACTAGAAGGTGAAGGGACGACAACGTTTCAGTCCGCCCTGGACCATTCTCAAGTCGATTGTGGTTCTCAATCGACTCGAGTCAATTTTCCTAGCACCAAGCCTTGAGGGGACCCTCAGTACCACAACCTTCAAGCATGACACATTTTTCTTATGACACATTTGGCTGTGTCATTGTATTTCCTGTTCATTAGATTTTTCTTTACCTAGTTCAGTGTCTTTCCAGTTAGGTTATCCAAACTTGTCTTTCCTTCTTATACCTTAGCCTTTTCTGTGGAACAATATCAAAAGCTTTTCAGTGGCTTAGAAAAAAAGCAGTTACCCATCCTTCAGTTTTCTGTTATATCTTGGTGACCCCAGTCGTATTCTCTTTGGTTTGTTAGGAATGACTTTCCATTTGAAACATTGTTACTTATCCATATCAAAGTTTATCCTCTTTCAGCTGTTTCATTATTCTCTTCCTTATAATTTGTTCTGATATTTTGCATGGAATGCATATTAGTGATGCTGATCGATAATTTGGCCCATGGGTATCTGTGATGCTGTGTTATGTTAATGATATAGTAAATGGATAGGTACTACTATTCTTTTTAATATAGTATCTTCTAACTTTTCAATATATCTATATTATCCACTCTTTTTCTTTCTTGGCCAAGTCCTCTCCACCCCATAAAATAGAAAAGCTGACTAATAGTAATGAATTAATGAAAATAATTGTCATAGTCAAATTGAGTTTTGTTATAGTTTAGTTAAGCAGAGTAATGTAGTGGAATTAATTTAATCTTATTAAAAAACAACAGTTTCATCTACTCTTTATAGACCTGGTGAAAAACTCCATACTCAACTGGATTCTGCTTGGAGTCTAGGCTGCCGGAGCCGATCGGATATTGCAAAAACTTCGCCTATAGCTTGTTTGGTGTTCAATTTTACTCCTCCATTCTCAGAAGAGCAGCAGTCTTTACTTAGTTTCTCTGATGTTAGCCTTCTCTTTCAGAAAGTAAGTTACAACCATTTTTTTTCATTATCTGTGACTCACTGAGTCACTGAATTTTGCTTCTTCAATACTCCTATATTAAATGTGCATTTATACATTTGCCTAAATGTTCTGCATGCTAATCAACCAGCTCCACTGGTTATCCATGCATAAGGCACCTGACTTCTTCAGTGACTCCGGTTAATTCTGGAATAACTTTAAACGGGAGAGTAGAGAGTAGCTTTTAGTACTTATGTATGTATTCTGTATCATTTGATAAGATACATCCTAGATGACATTGATAATGAAACAAGATAATCAGAGATTATATTTCAAAACAAGGGAAACAGATGGCTCATGCCTAATTGTAACAACAATTATATGGTATGTTGTTCAAAGTGTTGTCTACAAGAAAAGAAATAGCTTGCTCAATGCATGATGTATATGTTAGAAACGACAAGATTATCATAGAGCCTTCATCATTAATTTAATTTGTACCAATTTTGTCCAAGATTGAAAGCTGGCTGTGATTTTTGACAAAGATGATACATGTATCATGAATACATATTAACTTTTCAGTTTGGTACTGCACTTCAGCATCTTCTGACAACAGTTCCTTACAGTGAAGCCTCTGGGTTAACAAATATTGAATGGGATGCTGTGGAAGTGTGTTCGCATTTTATGCAGAACTGGTTAGTATATGGCTAGCAGTTGTACATTTAAGTCATGAGAACGTGATGTGTCTATGAGGAAACATTGAGGCTGTACGATACGTTTAAGCCTGTGCCCCTGAAATCCTCAGGCAAATGCACTACTAACTGGACCATGATGAGCTAAACAAAAAATCTCATCTAGGTACTTTTGAGCTTTGTCATGGTTCAGTTGGTAGTGTGTGTACCTGAAGAATCTAGGGATGTGGGTTCGATCCTGTTGTATGGCCTCAATATTTTCTCTAATGGATGTATGTATTGCATAATGTTTTTATAAAGCAGTCTGCTGCAGCATCTTCATATTACTGTACTCCTATTATGTGTGTAGCTATTCTTGTTAAACCATCTTCCTTGAAAGATCTAATAAGCAGCAAAATGTCAGTGAATACAGTAGCATTTTTACATATTCCTGCTTAAATATATATAAAATCAGTAACTGAAAGGAATATCAGTCCCCATGGCGCAATGGTAAAGCACTCGCCCGGTGCTTCGTGAGCACTTTGGCCTGGGTTTGTGTCTTGGTCGGGGAGGATTGACTGGGTGCCAATCCTTAACTGTAGCTACTGTTCACAAAGTGGACAGCTGAATGGGTACCTAGTTGTTAAAGATTTGGCAAATTTTATTCCGGGGAAAATTAGGATTAAGGACTTGCACGAAATGCCATGCGTGCTAGTGGCTTTACAAGAATGTAAGAATTCTTGTATATACAGTATATAAATAAAAAATATATATTGATGGTGGGGAAATGCAGGGAACCAGAAATACTGTAAATGTCAGTTGTAATATTAATTTTAGCATTGTAGTATTATCTTGTATTATATAGTCGGTAGCCTGATTATTTTGATGTAAAAGTAGTATACATGTTATTGAAGCAGAAAGGTAAAATCTTGCTATTGTGTGTGTGTGTTGACCATAAAATTCTTATGTATATCCTAAATGTAACATATGGATATTTATTTTCTGAAAAGGCTGAATGAACCTAGTATTCTGCAACGAATCAGTCGGCATTATGACTCTGGTCTTCCACTAAGCAGAACGACTATTGAAAACCTTATTGCCAGTCAGAACCACATGGCCGGTTACAGTCTCTGCTCTGAACTCTATCTTGCCCATCTTGACATGCAGCTTTACACAAGGTAAGATTATTTAGCTCTTGTATGCCAGGCTATGTCATGCAATGCATCTGCAGGCAGTCACGGGCCATGTCATGTGATGATTACAATTTTTGTGCCAGTCTTCAGGTTAGGATTGGGGCTAAATGGTTTTGATGGGTTTTAGGTGTCATATAGGAGGCAAATTTTGCTTCTCGTCATGATTGGAAACTAATTTCCTTGGCATCCAACACATTTTACCTACAAATGACAGTGGAATGTACGAATCCATAAATTTTTTTTTTATTGTATAGTGTATTATTACAAACAAATTTTAAGCATTATTTGTATTTTCTCTCAAATTTGGCACCGTATGTTGACCTACGAATGGGAAAGTGTATTCATTTATTAATACGTTCAGTGCATACTTGTACTCGTGTGCAAGTCATGGATTATGAGTATTATTATGTAGAAACTAAAGCTTTATCTTTATTGTATCATTCACTATTATGTAATTTTACTTAGATATTGTTGTGTATTACTTAGATATTTGTTGCAGTGAGGATTACTGGCTGGACATTACCCGGGACTTATGGAAAACGTACCGACCGTTTGTATTGGACAAATATGATGCACACCTTTGCACCAACACAGCGATCATGGCCGACATTTGGGCTGCTGCATATTATTCTCACCTCTGGTCACGCATGATAGCAGCTGATGCCTTCCAGGCTTTCAGAGAGACAGCAGAAGATGTCTCTGAAGTTGGTGCTCGGTAAGTGGAAGTGTGCAGAGAATGCCTCATATTTATCTTCAGTGGGTGCTTGGTAAATGAAAGTATGCAGAAGATGCTTCATATTTGTCTTTAGTGAGTGCTCGGTAATTGGAAGCATGCGGAGGTTGCTTCATATTTGACTTCAGTGAGTGCTTGGTAAGTAGAATTATGCCGAAAATGCTTCATATTTTTCTTCAGTGGGTGCTCAGTAAGTGGAAGTATGCAGAGAATGCTTAGTGCATCTGCAGTGCATGCTTTGTATGGCACAAATCTTTGCTCTCCATGCTGCCATCATTTGACTTGCCACCTACTTTCTTTATAATCATTTCTACCTTCTTTTGTCATTCAATTTTCTCTATTTTTATGGTGTTCCACAAGTTGCATTCTGTGGCCTATTCATTTATATGTTATTCAATAATTTTCTTTGCAGTATGTACTGTACATATCTAATGCAATCCAATGGTTCCATCTCTCGAGAACGTATTAAATCGCCCCACTTCAAGTATGGTTAGATGATACACCTTCTCATAGGTATTGAACATATTGTCTGTCTGAGAATAGTGCTACCTACTTAGTTTTCCACACAGTTACCTTATGGAATATATTACCATCTAATAACTTCAATGCTTGTAGATCACAAGTGAGTATGATGAATCTTGTACATATGGTATAACATTATTTTGAACTCTTAAAACTTTTCCATCTTCTTTGCAGATTAAATAAATATGTTTGGTGAGTTTCTTTAAATGGGTGGTTAATAAGTTTATCCTGACACTGGGAAACCTCTTATTATTGGACGATGTCATTACTTAAATGCTTTATTGTGGTCAGTAACTACTAATTACTATGTGTCCTGACCACAATCCACCTTCTTACTGATGTATAATTGTATATATGCAAGTGCCAAAATTTCCTATCTTTTTCATTCATATTAATCGAATTTCAGTATAGTATATAAATTCTACATTTAACGTGTGCTTTTAGGTTCCGTTCAACATTCCTATCCTTGGGAGGAGGCTGTCATCCAAGTGAAGTGTTCCGCAGCTTCAGAGGCCGAGACCCATCTCCAGATGCTCTTCATGTTTTGTGTGGACTCAGCCAACAAAAAAACAAACCCCCCACTGATTAGTTAAGGACAATGACAAACCACAAGCATGGATTTTGAGATGAGTTTCTAACTGTATAGCTGTACAGTAATTCTGCTTGATGCAACAAATTGTTTAACTTCAAGTTTTCCAGCATGTCTTACACCCATTCAGCAGTGATTATTGGAAAAGGGGGAAAGCTGTTTTCAGGAAAACTTGAATGTCATGAGTCCTGTTTAAAGTACATTTCATTGAGGAATGACAGTGGCACGGCATGGAATTAATTTCATATTTATGTTTAGAGGACGATTCCCAAACAGTATCACTCCCAAGCACAGCTTGCCAGTAGCTGATTTTTAATAGAAACATGAAATTGTTAAGCCATTTAGAAAGTGCCTCTGTACCCAGGCTCAACTCGCAGCTCCAAACAATAGGTCTTACTTGGCAGCGTGCAACTCGTTGCATCAAAACAATAAACCGATTGTTATGAATTTGGTAAATGTATTCGAATGTCACAGTAAGAAGGGGTAAGTAGGCATAGCCCATTTTTTTCTTCTGTAAGAAAACTGTATTTTGATTAAAATATGCCTTCAAGTATATATTTTTCATCAGAGCTTTTGGGATACTTAATGATACAATTCTGATAATTGTAATCAATTTGGAGTAATATCGTTTTAAAAAATATTCGCGAAAAAACTAAACCTGCAGACTACAACCAAATGTATGCGTTTGAGAAATAGGTAAATCAGACTGTAAACTGTCTTACAGTAAACTGTGTTTGGACAAAGTAGAGAGGCTACTTGTTTGCTGTGTATTTATCGCTGCTTACCATACTTTATTGCCGGGTAAATATGGCGGCTTGGGAGAAGTTACAGTAAAGAGTAACTTTAGTACAAGATGAAGTAATATTCGCTTTATCTGACAGGCAGGTGCTGTTCACTCGGTGCCTCATTTTTTTGGATTTCCATTATGGCGTTCCTTCATCTTATTTCTTTTCCTGTATTGGTATCTTGAATGATATGAGAACTCTTGAATATTCTGTAACACAGGCCGTGCCATATAGCCATCTGGGCTTAACATTTTCTTTTGATGATTTATTAATTTTCCCTTTTAAAATTCCAAGAGCATTTAAGAAAAATATGGGAACCAAATGTGTAAATCTGCATCTGGTTAAAATTGGGCATTAAGAACTTACAAGAGGTAATTATGTTCAGTATAATGGATGTGATAAGTAAAGTATGTGTAGATGTGTATGCATTTGGGCAGTAAAGTTGCAGTTTTCCTCAGCCATAGAAACACTTCTGCTGAAGATTTCAAAAATGAATGTATCTCTGGATGGAATAACAGCAAAAACAACTTGTGTTTATATTGATTCAGTCTCCATGTGGTTTTTATTTGTCCCCTTTAGACTTAAAGCAAAAAATTCACGCTTGAGGCATATACATGCCTAAGCTATTGCCCTAATCATTCTTATTACTTCCTAAAGCCAAATGATGACTGATTCACCTCTAACAGCCAAAATTAGTAGATACAGGTCCTTATTGAAGCCCATACATAGCCTTCCTGGTTTGGTGCCTTCTTTTGATAATTACTTATTGAAGCCCAATACATGTTTACAAGGAGGTAGGACTCCACAAAGTCACTTCCTCAATAAAGGTCACTGTTAAAAGAAGAAAAAATTTGAAAGAGAGAGTGGATACCAAACTGTATAAAGTGTGAATATAGGAAGGTTTGAGTAATGGAAACAAATTGGAGAAATTAAAAGCCGGGTAAATGAGAGTGCCAGAGAATTTTTTACTTGCCATTCTACAGAATGTAACTGATCATAAAATTGGCAAAGTTGTTATTGCAATGACAAGCACTGGATAGAATAAAGTCCTTTTTTATCTGGTATTTTTGTTGTTGTCTACCTTGTGTTGGTTCTGGGGATCAATGTCCCTGTGGCCCAGTCTCTAACCAGGCCTGCTGGTTGGTGGTCTGGTCAACCAGGCTGTTAGAAGTTGTTATTTGCAGCAGTTATAATGTTTTAAATTTTCAAGAGATTACAAATCAAATCATGTACTGTATCTATAGTACTGTACTGCATTCTGTAAAATATTTGTAGCAAATTGATAGAATACATTTTTATTGTGCAAAGATTATCATGGGTAAAACTGTGTATAATGTATTTGTGTTTATATGATTTCATTGTATATAGAATTTTGTATAAATAATTTAGCAATAAATTAGTATTTCACTAATAAGTTATTAATTAACTTTGCAGGCTAAAGGAGATTTATGTGAGACTGCTAAACTTACATTTCTTTGTACATGCCTATGTTAAATAGATGTTGTTTAAGGAAGTGTTACCGAGAAGGACGTATAGGATTTCAAAGAAAGAATTTATATTTTAGATTTGAAATAACAAAAATGCTTTTTCAGTTTCATCTCAATTTTTATGCATGTTTTTTTAAATGTTTTCTTTAACAAGGAGTAAATGTTACCAGTATGTCTGGTGTATTCAATTGCTAAGTGCCACAGAATAGTTTCACTGAATCAAAACATTGTATAACCACATAGTACAATTCAAAAATGTAAATATTCATGATTGACCACCAGTGTATTTTGGTCTGGATGATAGAACAACAGTTTCACTTCTTGCAGGTTGATGCTCACTCTCTGACCGTCCAAGTGGCTGGACACCATTCCTATCCTAAATCTTTATCCTTTCCAAGTGCTAATAGTTATAATGGCTTAGTACTTTCACCTGATAATCACCTTATCTTACTTTGCTCCCTATCTTATATATAGATTTGGGATGTGCAGCAGTATGACTAAAAATGTTACAATATGATTCACACCTCTGAATATTAATTGTAAAATTATTTAGAACTGGCTTCACCTTGTTTTCTTCCCTATTTCCACCCGAGAGTTGAAACTGAGGCGCTATCCCAACTACCAAGGTGTATGTTTTGCATGGGTGTTTACCCATCCAAAACAAATAGTATTTACGTGCAGATGAGGAGTCACAATAACGTGGCTGAAAAATGTTGACCAGACCACACACTAGAAAGTGAAGAGACATTGACGTTTCGGTCCGTCCTGGACCATTCTCAAGTCGATTGTGATAATGGTCCAGGACGGACCGAAACGTCGTCGTCTCTTCACTTTCTAGTGTGTGGTTTGGTCAACAAATAGTATTTACAATATCACAAGAATATGTTGACCAATCCACAAGAATCATGATATATCTGAGAAAATGTTGCTTATGTCTGAGGCATTCAAAATAGCAGATTTGATCCTATTATATAGCTTCAGTATTTTCTCTTGCATAATATTAATTTTCTTTCATATATATATTGTAAATCTGCCCAGGAGTTAGAAAGCTTTTAATTGGCCAATTTACTTGTATCATTGCTACATAGTCTCCCTGGCTTGTTGCCTTCTTTTGATAATTACTTTTATCAAAAGTGTAAAGATTAACCCAAATGTGCAGTTATGGCTGGGGTCAAACAGGCAGTGCACAACTGGCGCCCTCAGCACTGGAACTGCCATTAGACCCACTAAATAAATACCTGCATATACTGTGTCACCCCTTGAAGTTGTCACGCCGATTGTGAGTGAAGAACGAAGCCAACTGTACCAAGACAGTCGTCAAAATAACACAGGTGAACAGAGGATGGATAGACTGCCAGACAGTTCAACAGACTGCCAGACAGTTCAACAGACTGCCAGACAGTTGGACAGACTGCCAGACAGTTGGACAGACTGCCAGACAGTTGGACAGACTGCCAGACAGTTGGACAGACTGCCAGACAGTTGGACAGACTGCCAGACAGTTGAACAGACTGCCAGACAGTTGGACAGACTGCCAGACAGTTGGACAGACTGCCAGACAATTGGACAGACTGCCAGACAGTTGGACAGACTACCAGACAGTTGGACAAACTGCCAGACAGTTAAACAGACTGCCAGACAGTTAGACAAACTGCCAGACAGTTAAACAGACTGCCAGACAGACAAACTGCCAGACAGTTAAACAGACTGCCAGACAGTTGGACAAACTGCCAGACAGTTAAACAGACTGCCAGACAGTTAAACAGACTGCCAGACAGACAAACTGCCAGACAGTTGGACAGACTGCCAGACAGTTGGACAGACTGCCAGACAGTTGGACAGACTACCAGACAGTTGGACAAACTGCCAGACAGTTAAACAGACTGCCAGACAGTTAAACAGACTGCCAGACAGACAAACTGTCAGACAGTTAAACAGACTGCCAGACAGTTAAACAGACTGCCAGACAGTTGAACAGACTGCCAGAAAAAGATTATCTCACAAACGGCAGTATATTATGTTTTGAGCTCACATCACAGACTTCAGAGGAATAGGAGACAGAACACATGATGGATGATATGAAGAATCAAAAGAGCTACCCAAAAAGACACCCCGACCCTCTCTGAAGAAAGTACTTTATTAACAAATCACACAAAATGTGTATCAGACAAGATGGCGTTGAATGTAGCCCCTCAGGAAATCATAACTGCAAAAAAAAAAAAATGTATATTAAATAAGTTTGGCGCAATATCATGGATCATAAATCTTTACAAGAAATTATTTCTCGATTTTCAAGAAAATAATGGTAATTCTCAGGGTTATAGTACCCTAGAAAGATTAGAACGCCAATATTTATATTTATTTCACATCATGCAGTGTCCACACAAGTCTAGAAACACCTTAACTCCTGCAAATCAGCGTAGGGAGGAGAATTGTTTAATTACTCAATCACCACGCAGCGGTGAACAAGCCAAGAAGACATTGAAAAAACAATTTGGGAAGAGCCTTGTCGAGGCCGCTGTAACACCTTTAGCCACAATTTAAACAAGTGCAGGCTATAGCGCACTAATTAAGCCATTCAGTATATTATTTAAAAGAAGGAGAAATGATTGGATAATGGGGGTGAACCTCTCACAGCCGTCTCGCCCTCAAAAGTATATAGTATAGATATATTAATAAATAAAACTGAAGACCCTCATATAATAACGAGTAATACTAATTTACCCTCTTCCGTTTTTAATGTATATAAATTTATAAACGTAATAGGCAATATTAATAGCTTACAATATGGAAAAAAAGGTTGAAAAATACCTCCTTGGCGATTTAATTAATATTCAACGATTACTTTCGAACATTATAAAATGAACTATGGTCACCAGGCACGGTAGCAAATTTGCCTGGCAACGGCGTCCATAGCAACGCATCATTGTGCGGTGGAGCCGAGTAACGGGCAGTTGGTCACCTCAGTTTCTCGACAATATACAATAATATGGATGATATTTCCTCTACCTAAGGTCTACATGGCTCTGGAAACAGAAGAACAACCTGGAAAGTAATCATCGAAAAACTAAAAGGTAATTGTTTAGCCTTGACTTTATACTGACTCGACTGGTTATATAGATAATTATGTTAATTTTAACAGCAGTAACAATTGTCTTGTTTTATCTTGGTTGCTGCAGTGTTTGACTTCCTTTACTGCTTCTTCTATTTTTTTCCTTCTCCTTGGCCACTTGTGCATAAGTGAGTTGCATATCTTTCTTGCACTGTTCTATTCCCTGAGTAACTTCCTCCATCTGTGCTGACAAAAGCTGTTTCTCCTGTTGAAATTCCTTACCTAACCTATTGTAGTCATTTATGTTTAAATTTACTTTAACTTCTTCCAAAGTGCTGACATATATCTGGAGGTTCTGTTCCAACCATTTGATCATTTATTATAATAATAATAATTTATTTATGAAATATAGGAATATTGTGCGAGTAGGTATAGTAGCTGTATATTATTGAAAGTCATAATTATTTACAGCGTTTCTGGCATTTAATGTTACCCTCCTGTCTTGATCTGTCCCCTTGAGGGGGGGGGGGGGGCTAGACCAAGTGTCTAGCTTCAATAGTCTACACATACATGGGTATAACCATCAATTTATAAACAGGCGGTCAATTAAACCTTTTAATCCCCACTGTAGAACGGAAATGGTACATAAATGATGTGGTTGTTGATGGTGTAATTGTGTTGGTTAATGTTTTCCTCTAAACTTGGTACATTACTTGTAAGTGATTATTTATCCTCCTTAAATGTGCTCAGCTCTTTAAGACACAATTGTAACATGCTCGTGTCTGCAGCTAGACAAAGGTACAACACAATTATTAATTATTAATGAATTTATTTTATATGAATTTCATCTCATGTTAGCATCCGAATACAAGATAGAACCGACGAGTTAGCCAAAGGATCTGCCTTAAAGAAGTTGGCTGTACAATCTTCTCTAGATTTCCCCTCCGTAAGATAATACAGTGACTTGTGAACAAATCTACAAGGGCCGTGACGAGGATTTGAACCTGCGTCCAAGAGCATCCCAGACGCTGCCTTAATCGACCCCCTTGTGGATTTGTTCATTTGATGCATCACGTAATTGTGATTTCTGTGTGTAATGAAACAGTGACTTAGCCTAACTATTAACGTCAAAAACTAACCTACACACCATACCTACCGGAGCTGGTACTTGTTAACTTTTTTTTTTTTTTTTTTTTAAGACATTAAACAACCTGTTCTCGGGTAAGTGATTAGATTAAGACGCCTACTTCCCTCTCACACCTTCTGAATAGTTATATAGATATGTGATGGTCTGAAAGCATATTACGGTTTCAGTTATAGTTTACTGGTAAACTGGCAAGTGAACCTTTGTCCTAAACAGAAAATATTCTCAAGTTATAACTGTATTGTATTATAAATCGACGTTTTAAAAGTATATGAAAACTGGTAAATTCGTTTTCTTTGCTGTGCCGTGAGGTCTTGGGTGATTTTTAATGTGAAATTCTAGGAGATACTCAAATAGTTCTTGAATTTCATATTTAACATGATTGAGACTAATACTGTTTTAATCAAATTTAACCTAACTTCACCTAATCTAACCTAACTAAACAATAAAAAGGGAGTAGATAATAGCACTAATTATGTAGTGGTTTTCAAGTGTGTTCCACGAGGGTTATAACCCCCCCTACCCCATAGGACATGTTGATATTAAAGGGGGGTGTTTAATTTCCCTAAACCACAGCAATTTTTACACCAAGGTCGATTGTGTAAAAACTTCAGGGCATTCAGTAAGAGGACTTGGCCACTTGTGGGTATGGAGTCCACTACCACCCACAGGATAGGTAGAGGGTGCATAATAAGTGAACAAAACTACACCAGGAATGTGTAAGTACG